TAACAAGGTTGCGAGAAAAATGGGAACCTATTTTGAAGTGGGAATCAACCGCTCTCCGGGATTGTGTCCATCAGTGCGATTTAGTTACGCTCGAAAGCTCTTTCGTGGAGTTTATGTTGCCAGAAAGAGTTCCAACGGGCGGCCTACAGAGGGCGACGTGACTACTCGGTCGTGTTGGCTGTTGCGTGGAGCATGAACGTCTTCGGTAGCACTACTGGGCTAAAAAGTGATGCCGCAACATGGTGACATCGTATTGTGTATCGCATTGTATATGGTTTGAGGGTATTGGAGGCAGACGAGTGATATCGTGTACTGGAATACGGAAACAAAGTTTGAACATGCACAGCTTTTGATGGGGTTAGGGCCGGAAAAATGATAATCCGGGTGTGATTTGTCCTAAACGACACTTACCTGCACGGCGCGCCGAACACAACGTATTTAATGATAGACGGTTGCAGCGCACCCTCGTCTGTAGACGACAAGCCACGTACCAAGACAACAGGAAGCCAGTAAGTAAGTACTTGAAACGATTCCGCGGTTTCGCACATCGATCGTCGTACGGTTCTATCCTTCCTTGCTCGACCTAACCGAAAGAACGAAACACAGCTACAAATAGAAGCTCAAGAGAGTGGAACCAGTAAATGTCGGAGCCAGGTACGACCCCGACCCGACTCCGTGAAGGCGGCGACATTGAGCACTGCCGACATGTGCTTCGACGTTACTCGACCCCCTCGTCCTCTTCGTCCTCGTCCTCCTCCTCCTCGTCCTCCTCCTCCTCCTCGTCGTCCGCTTCACCGACTACACTGGAAGATTCAAACATGTCCGACCCGACGATTCGACCACAGCTCGTGCTAATGTACAAGGGATTGTCGGTGTGGGTGCTCGCTGCGTTCGGCTTGTTGCGAACATGACGGACCTTCACCCCACCGCTACCGTCGTCACCAAAACCGACCTTGTCAAGAATTTTTACCCGAGTGCCACGCTGAGGAATGTCGCAGCAAATGTCTAAGTCTGCCTTAGACTTCTTGTTCCACCTAGTCCAGTAGATGGGACACGTCTTGTCTACCCTCAAGTACAACGCGGCCTCAGGAGTGCAACGCTCTGTACCGGGGTCAAGCATAAGCTGAAGCTGCGCGTTCGTAGCGATCCGAAGGAGACGAACAAACTCTTCGTCGACTTCGTCTGAGTCCATCGACTGCCTAGCGGCGTTGGGGGACGAGTACACTATCAGATCACCCCACACAAGTAAGTCCGAGATGTCTCTCGACGACCTACTGCTCCTCTTCGGCTTCTTCAGCACGAGCTTGGGGTTGGAGGGGTCACCCTGTACGCACGGGGGGGGGGAACAAGGACATGGGGGCGGTAGATAGTTTGGGGAAGATGTTGAGTGTCAGGGCGGTTCGTTTCCAAGCAGCGAGGGCGGGAAACAAAAAAGTAGTCATCACAGAGACAGACGTCAAAAAATGAAACCCGCAAGCGACTGACGTTTTCGATATGTATGGTCGAAGCGTACGAACTCGGGCGAAGGACACTCGCTAGGTGGAAATAGCATGAACCTGTAGGACGAGGTGGGAAGTCTTGGACACCGCCTGCGCCACGGCGAACGAGGCCGCCTCTACGTCTTCTTCCTTCTGTAGTTCCGCTTTGAGGGCCTCTTGCACCCGCCCGGGTGCTGTGGATGGTGGGAGGCCAGCGGGTAAGCACATCGGACCAACGAAGACCTCTTGCCCTCCACGTCGGCTCTGGACATCAAGCATCGAGCGATACATCAGCATGACGAGTGATCCCGTCATAGTCAACAAGGAACATGAAAAATCACCAGTGCACACACAAACGACGCGACATGAAACACCGCATGACGCAAAGAGCAAGATCTCCTGGTACAACAAGATCTCCTGGTACAACGAGAACATCATTTCCAGTCCACCTGAAACATGCCCGAGCTGTGCGCCTTGTGAAACGCCGAGGCGATGTTAGTCTGCAGAGCGGCGCGCTTCGACTCATCCATCACATAAAATTCGACTCGGCGCCCTCGCGATATGGCATCCACTGGAGCTGTAGTGGTTTCCACTCCAATTCCTAGGACTGTGTCGCCGGCGTTGGTGTATCTATTTCGAATTCGCGAACAGGAGGCAGTGTTACGATAACATGCACCATCATCGATCACACGTGGGGTTGCTGAGAGGAGTAGGGCCAATCGCTCGTCCGGCCGATATCGGAGACTGAGTATAGCCTTATTCTTTCTGGTCGCGTCCCAGAAGGACGTTGAGTAGCATTACCAGGACGCCATAAACAAGGTTGTGAAAGAGATTTAACCCTTTCGTGACACCATGCATGAAAACAGACGATAACTGTGTGTACGCTCACTCGCCTCCACGGTATAACTATCGCAAGATATGGAAAAAAATCACGACCAAATATATAATTCCATGCTGAAGATAGAGGTTATCATGCATGCTATCTATCGTGCATGAAGTCACGAAAACCCTCTCCCTTGAGCGGACATTGCATACAGCAAATGAACCTCCCTTCACTCCCAACATTCCGGACCATACACACCGCAGTCAAAGCAAACATCAGGCACCGAGGCAGTACGTCAGCATCGGCTACGGTGTGCATTACTGCTGCAAATGGTACAGCTGTGTGTACCCCTGTGCCCTGCTGTGCACACTGCTATATAATATATGTGTGTTTATGTGGTCGGCTGCCTCTTGTCTCTCTGCTGGTCTTTACGGCTATCTTTCGGCACACAAAGTTATCGTCTGTTATCATGCATGGAGTCACGAAAGGGTTAAAAGATGTTTCAATCGCCTGCCATCAACGCGGTACGTACCTTGCGATCAAATACTGACACGCCACGGAAGGGAAGAACGTTCGGGACCCCCCGTTGGGTGCCCCTGGAGGCAAGTTGTCCAAGTGGATGACGTGTCGCGCATGCGGGACAGGACCCTGGGAGTGACCGAAAACGTCTGTTACCACAACACGTTTGTTGCACGTGAATCCCGTCGTACCATCTGAACCTGACAGGTGCCACGATAGGGGCGGACGAGAGTGCGTCTGTGAAATTGTTTGTGGTGGCATGTGGGAAAAATATAAATATGATACCTAACCTCTGAACGATGGGTGAGCGAATGCGCGATCCGTAACGAAAAGCTGCTTAGATTAGTACGTATCAAACTTCTAGGATATTCATGTAATCTACAGCTGTACCCAGACACCATGAACGTTAGGGCTAAAACGCCCAACCCATATCATAGTGCGACTCACCTCTGCGGTGCACCACAAGAACTAGCTCCTGTTGGTTCCGCATGTGGCCTTCCTTGTGCCTCGGCTGGGCGCCTCCGCTCACGCTCGTGTAGGAGATGACGAGTGGGTTGGCTTCGACGTCCGCATCGCTGAGTTCCCTGAAGGCGTCTGCAGACACGGATGGATGTACATGTACGGGAAAAGTAAGAAGATATCATCACTGATTGAGGTTGAAGAGGCTCACAAGTTGACAGGCGATATGTAAACGAGAGAAGAAGCTGGAAACAAGGTGTACTGGGAGCGACGAGAACTCGCTACAGACAGACACAAGATGCTACAGTCGAGGTGGCACTCTCGAGTTCACGTTGACCACACAATTCCTGCATGTGTATTCGAGCGAAGCGGGCGTGGGACCTTGAACTCGCTTCAAAAAAGTATTGTGTAGCTTATTTTCGCCGCACACAGACAAGCTTCTCCGACAGTCGAACTTGAATACTCGGCCTCTACAGCCCAAAAAGCGACGACAAACCATCAACCAGAAAGTGATCGCTTGTCGCTTCGCGAAGCAACCCCCTATTGTAGCATCGCTCACAAATGCTCACGTACCATAGACCAGAGCGCCTTTCTCAAACCAAGGACGAGGTATCGCACATGCAACCGTCCCTTTCTCGTCAGTCGCCTCGAGAACGCCCTGAAGAACTTCCTTCAAAGCGTTCTTCGAGGTTGGCGTCCGCTTGAACAAGAAGTCGTTGCGCGTGAGGTCGACCATGCAGAGCTTGGGGGAGTAGTTGGTCTTGAGTGGAGAGCCGCCTACGTAGTCGTTGGTGCGTGCGGCGAACAATTGCCCGCCGTGGATAACCGTGTTCCTTGACCTGCACAACGTACAGTGTGTCACGGCAAAGCGGGCGGGCCGAGGTGGTGGCGAGGGTGCTGAAATAGCAGTCTGTCATGGGGGAACGGGCAAGACAGAGGAAAAAAACAAAGGGGGCGCCTTACAGCGACCTCACCATGGCCGATTGAAAAGCGGCTACTTGCTGTGTTCTTCCTGTACCACAACAACATCAACTTAGATTATATCTGTGGACAACTGGGAGAGAAGGCGCAGGCACTTACATGCTAGTATCCACCTGTAGCATCACGTTCTCCGGTAGCGTTTGCACGTCGCCTTTCCGTCGCCTCTTGGTCGGGTGGCCTCCTTCGTCATCTGATGAGTCTGAGTCCGGGCAGTCCTTGCACTCGAGATCCGTGCCGGGGCCTTTGTCCGTGACGGCGCACGTCTCGAGATGCAAGGTGTTGCAGCTCGAGCACTTGGACCTGTCACTCATCAACACAAACGAATACATTACATCATCGGGTGCAGGGCACAACGCAAGAGAGAGAAGGATCAGGACTAACGACGATGTTGAGACGGCGAGTCACACAAGCTAATAACGCAAGGCGTGGACGTGGGTGAGGTTACCGTCGGCGTCGGAGTTTCAATATCGGAGGGGGGGGTTGATTCGCGGCTGAAGCCAAAGCCCACGCGGGGAGCTTGACGTGGGGGGGGGGGGGGGGGTT